GTTTCCCTTTGAAGACTATTTTTCATCTGGGGAAACAAAGAAAAATCACTTGGGGTGAGATAGGGTTAATACAGAGGGTAGGGCTTGGGGGTCATGCCATTTTTGTCAAAAACTGTTGAACATTTAGACCGGTATGGGCAGTTGTGGTGTCCTGGTAGAAGAAACAGTGACCTGTTTGCCACCAACAATTTCACTGAACCCGGAATCACCGTCTCACAACTTAGCTGGTACACTTAAGCCGATGGGTTCCTAGAACATATACCTAGTGGGGGAAGGCCTGTACTACAAGGGGTCCACCCTCTAAAAGATAATTTCAGTTTTTTGGCGTCCCCCTTTGTATTGCTTTTCAGATATCTGTAAGCTATTCAAGTAAAGATGTTAGTTGTATGACTGAAGCTATCTAGGTGGGGAAAATAAATTTGGAACTCACTGACTTATAAACTCTGTTTAAAGTTAAGGAACTGGATGTGATCTCCCAAGGAATGATTCCTGGGCTACTGCAAAACTTAGAGGTCAGATGGCACAAAGCAGACAGAGAAGGAGTACCCAGGGATAAGAAGAGGACCAAGAGAAAATGGCACATCAGAAGCCAAGATAAGAAAATGATTCAACAAAGACAGAGTGAACCATATACACTAATTCCCAGTGAATAAATGTTTCCTATCGTTTTCTCTGTCCTTCTTTCAAATTCTATCTTGTAGAGGGCTTATTCATTTCTTCTGAATATTTGATTAGGCCAAACATTCTCACATAGGCATTTGATTTTCTTCAATATTTTGAAGCTTCTGGTTTACTTTAATTAAGGAGGGCTACTAACATATTTTTAAATTAGGAGGATATTCCCGAGGGGAAGAGACTCTATAAGCAGTAATAACAGAAGTAGAAGCAATCCAACTAGGCCCATTCACATGTCCAGTCCAAATGAGTCCAAATTTAGGCTGTGATGGAACCTCACGTACCTTTGATGAGATGTCAGGACTCACTTGAAATATCGTCATTAAAGATATTGGCCTGTAGTTTTCTTTCTTTGTTGGGTCTTTACCTGGCTTGGGTATCAATGTGATGTTAGCTTCGTAAAATGATTTCGGGAGAGTTCCATCTTTTTCAATAGCCTGGAATACCTTTAGTAGGATTGGTATCAGCTCTTCCTTAAATGTCTTGTAGAATTCTGCTGGAAAGCCATCTAGACCAGGGCTTTTTTT